TGCATTGTTGTTTGTCCTGCTCGCGCTGCACGCTGAAGAGATAATCACCGTAGTACTACAATGATGAAGCGCTTTACTGCAGCGCAACTCAACCAAATGCATCTTATACGAGATCAATAATATATACACAATATATATATAAACCGGCTGAAATGTTTTGAAATCACTTGTACCCTACCTGATCGAAAAAAATCCAGTCTTTCACTCTGTCTGTGTCAGTTTGAGTCTTGTTAAAGATATAAATCCCTGCCGCCAAGATGCTCCTCTGTCGGTCACGGATTATGGAAAGCGAAACTTAAATCTATAGGGGTGGTTGGATTTATTCACGCTAGGGGTGTAACGGTACACAAATATGACAGTTCGGTACGTACCTCGGTTTTAACGTCACGGTTCGGTATGATTTTGGTACAGCAGGGGGAAAATTATTTTTTTTTAAATGGTTTACTGAACAAGTTGCTCTTTCTTTAAATACATTCAGTTATAGTTTAAATGTTCTTAGTGATAAAAATCTACCTCAGCTTATGCTTAAAACTATAGGGAGCCCTTTTACATTATAAGGTCAATTAGGCCTAACAACTTAACCCAAACTTAAATTTCATTGCTATTTATTTTTAAATAGATGATCAACACTCAACTTAAAAAAAATAAAATAAAAAAAATTGTATGCAAACATGTAAATTGCACATAATGCAGTTTTTAAATTAATTTATAAATAATAAAATTTCTAAGCTATTTGTTAAAATATATTCAATTACACAATGGCTGTCATAGCATGTTTCATAACAGATTAATTTAAACATACTGTACATTAAGTAATTAAGACTAACAGGTTTAGTAAAATATAATGAGTATATGGTGTAATATTTCGCAAAATGCTCCTCTCTAGACTTCCTTTCTCTAGTGAACTAACGAGCTGTGGACACTGATGACTTGCTGAGGTAAATTAAATGCTATGTGATATTTTATTTCCACGTATTGTTGCTGTCTTTCCGCGGTTGAAACAGTGATTGAGCAATTACATGAGGCATGAGATGTTCAGTCATGTTTATTCGCGTTAAAACTAGTAGTACAGAGGAAGGAATGATCGCGTTCACTCGCGCTCCGCTCTGCACAAATCTGCGGGGCGTCACGGCTCAGACACCGGAACCGGAGCTGATCGCGGCCGCTCTAGTCACTGCTTGTGTTGGGATTATACCAGCACGTTTCTGAACAGTCCCAGAAGCGGCTCTCCAAGGCGTTTATACAGCGATCTGTCATGCCACATAAAAGACGGTCAAAACGCCATTTATTATTTGAATTTCCGGAGAAAAAAAAAAACTGTATTCGTTCGGTTCACATGCGTACCGAACCGAAAGACCCGTACCGAAACGGTACCCTATGGGTGTAACGGTACACGTATTCGTACCGAACCGTTTCGGTACGGGTCTTTCGGTTCGGTACGCATGTGTACCGCACGAATACAGTTTTTATGTATTCGTGCGGTACACATGCGTACCGAACCGAAAGACCCATACCGAAACGGTTCGGTACGAATACGTGTACCGTTACACCCCTAATTCACGCATGTTACAATATTTATTTAAAGCTTCCTTCTTTTCAGATTCATATTTACAGCATTATTTTAATAGGCTGTATATTAACTTATTGGGAGAAAACCAGTAGTTCTATGTGAAATCAGACATTTAGCACCCCCATACAGCCAAAATAGAATGATCATAACACCCCGCAAATATTCGACTGTGAGATTGGTATCGAATCAGGCTCCTCCTATAGAAGCATCGCATCTTCGACTATTCGGGGTCAACCCTAAAATGATATTTTAAAATATATTTAAATACAAAACTATTACTTTAAATTGTGATATTTCATAATATTACTGTTTTTACTGTATCATTATTATTTACTGTATGTACTTATTTCAAAAACATAAAAAATAATACTATGCTGTGTTTCCATGTGGCTAAGTTATCTAAAACATGCACTAGAATTTCAAGTGTTATACTATTATTTTTGTGCAGATAGGAACACAGTATTTTGCAACATTGTTTGAAAATCATATACTACCAGTCAAATGATTTTGAACAGTAGGATTTTTAATGATTTTTAAAGAAGTCTCTTCTGCTCACCAAGCCTGCATTTATTTGATCCAAAGTACAGCAAAAACAGTACAATTTTGAAATATTTTTACTATTTAAAATAACTTTTTTATTTGAAAAGATTTTAACATTTAATTTATTCCTGTGATTTCAAATCTGAATTTATAGCATCATTACTCCAGTCACATGATCCTTCAGAAGTCATTCTAATATTCTGGTTTGCTGCTCAAAAAACATTTATTATTATTATTATTATTATTATTATTGTAATGTTGAAATCAGAGTAGAATTTTTTCAGGTTTCTTTGATGAATAGAAAGTTCAGAAGAACATAATTGATCTGAAATAGAAATCTTTTGAAACATTATAAATGTCTTTATCATCACTTTTGATCAATTTAAAGCATCCTTGCTAAATAAAAGTATTAATTTCTATTAATTATTTTCCAAAAAATAAAAATTATACTGAGTCTAAGCTTTTGATCTTTGGATCTTTCTATTCATCAAAGAATCCTGAAAAAAAAATTTACTCAACTG